CAGAGGGGGAGATCAGGGGTGAAACATTCCCGATCCAATAGGCAGCCCGGGGCCGTCCGCACAGCAAACGGAATATAAGCCTCGATAAATCCGGCGCGCAGTTAAAAATTGATACAGTAGTTTCGGAAGTGCACGGGGCCGCCGTGGTTTAACTTACGTATGTAGTGAACGGTAAACGGAAGCCCATATCAATAAGTATCGTTGGTACAAGAGAGGAGATCCGGATTCGTGTGTGGTGGAGAGAAAGTAACGGCCGCGCGAAGATAGTGACAGAGCAACGGACCGAAACGTGAGAGAAAGAGAAAGGGGGTAGTGAAGCGGGACACAGACGAAAAGAGAGACGAAGGGTGGGAGGTAGAGAGAGAGAGAGAGAGAGAGAGATCGACGAGGTCGCGGGGAGGTTTTGCACGAGTCCGTAGTCGGGGTGGTAGTGGTGGTTCCGCGGCCAGGGGGTGAAATAATGGGGGCGGACGAGCCCGAGTCGAAACATTGATGTTGCCCGGCGCGCTTACAAACACACCGACACCAATCGAGCATGGCTTTTCCTATAGAAAACCAATCCAGGGGGCTCCGTTAGCTAGGCGGCCGGTCGGTTTCAAAGGGTGGAAAAGGGAAGGAAGACGGGACGGGAGGATAGAGTGGCGGTGAGTTGGTAGGGGGGAGGTACACCGGGAGAGGGCCAGAGTACTACGCGGGGATGAGGAGAGAAAACGAGGATACATACAGGGTGTCCCAAAATAGACGAAGAATGACTCTTTTGTATCGACAATGATTTTGGTGTACGCGCTTTTGTTTTTTTGTTTTAATACCGACTCAATTCATCTTTTAATTTAACTTATAATCTAATCTTCTCATGACACATGAAATTTTATTTGTGAAATTGTTTCCAAACTCATTGTAAGAGATTTAAAAACTGAGGTATAACAGATAATTCTTCTGATAGCTAAGAAAACCAAAAACTAATATTACAAATATTTTGCAAGTTATGACAATGTATATGTAACGAAATCTCTATTGGCCGTATGAAATTCAGATCGGAGGAATTAATTTTATTTTATATTCTTCTTTTTCACATCAAACCGTTTCAAAGTTACAGCTTGTCCCAATTACATGGGCAACCCTATATACATGTCGTACAGCACTCTATACCGTCGATGTGGCTCGTGTTTAACGCCCTTATAAATGTGTAATGCGTATGCTTGGTAGGTGGGGGTAGAACGTACCCGCAACTCGCCAGCCTGGTCTCTCTCCGCGTATCGATAAACGATCAATCAACCGGTACACCTATGGAAGAGGCCAGCGAGAAGGGTAAAAGAGGCGGTTGGGTGGCGACCGGGAGAAGGTGGATGATTAGACGAAGAGGTGGAAGAAGAGGAGGAATTCGGAGAAGGGGATTGCAAGCGAAAGGGATGAGAGAACGGTAGGATGGTTGGCGAAGATGGGTATGTGAGAGGAAGGGTGGAAGGGGTGGAACGAACAGAGATCGCGTTCTCGTCACAAGGGGGGTGAGAGAGAAAGGGAGAAAGAGAAAGAGAGGTTGCATGGCAAGAGAGCGCGGAGTAGGTTGGGAGAGGGTGGTGGCCCGCAGAGTATCGACCCACCGTGGAGGAGAAGGTAGCTAGGGTCGCCGTCGCCGGGTTTTGTTGCTATAGGTGTGCCGCGTTTCCGTCTATGAGGAACCTGCATGAAGACGTTCGAGAGTTCCAAACGCGATATTAAGGAACACGAGCTTCGACGCCCTTCGTCGACCATTAGTTAAACAGCTAATGTATCGAATGCAATCTCCTTGATGGATGACGTTACTTTCTTCGATTATACAATCTTCTTGCAATCTTGTAACAGAAAGACACAGACACGAGACGCGATCAGAAGTCTTTTCAATCCGTCTGATCTTAAAACACTACTATGTAGTCAAATAGTAAAAAAACAGAAACTTCATCCCCTACAATCCATAGTCGTTTTGCTACGGAAAGATGTCTTACCTCGCCACCTCTTTTTACCACTCCTCTTGTCAAAGTTTAAATTTTCCCCGGGCCTAGCTGGACGGCGTACCTCTTCATCCCTACTCTCCAACATAAGTCACCCCACCAGAGTGATAGCGGCGTCATCTTCCGCGTGTTTTCCCTTCTTCGCGTCGGAGACGTCTCGTGGACAGAGGTGGTTAGAGGGACAGGTTATCAAGACGAAAAGAGAAAAGAAGATTCGAAAAGCACGGATGAGAGATAAAGATGGAGAGACGTGTAACCGATTCGAATTACCAGCTCGACACGCTCGCCCTGGCATTCTGGAGGACGTATCGCGATCCGCATCACTCACGCTCCGTTAAACGCGTTAACGACCCGGGCCCGGCCACGTAGAATGCGCGAGCTCGGAATACATCCTCCGATTCTTCGTGGTCGTTGTCGCGGCACGGTCGTTTGTCCTGGTCGCTCGTCGGGCACGAGAGAGCGTGTACGTCGTGTTTCGCTTGGCCCACCCTCGCGTTCCTCTCTCTTTTCATACACCCTCGGTTACCTCGTCTCTTCCAGCTCGTGTACATCCATCCAACCATCCATCCATCCCCTTGTAGTCCGCGCGCGCGCCACTCAAGTGGCCAAGGAGGGAACAATGCATCCAGCTAGCTATGTGCAATGTGCCAGCGGATCAGGCCATTGTGGGGTCAGGTGGGTCGTCAGTCGGCAGAGAGCCCGTTGGCTGGCTTCGCGGGGTGTGGCCATATAACCATAGCCGCAACGATTTCTCCTCTCTTCCTCTTTCTTCCTCTTGTTCGCTCTCTTTCCGACCTTTGCCGCGTTGTCTCGTTTGGTAGCGCACGTTTCATCGCTCGATCTCCTTCCGCGCACCGATACCCCTATCTATCCGTCTCTTGCCCGCGAATTCAACCAGCTCCGCGCTCTGATAACAATAGGTGTTGCCCTCTCCGTCGCTCCGTCACGCGCTGTCGCGCTCCTCCTCGCGTTCGCCGGTTCGGTCTCCTTCGTCCCTCTTTCCGCTCGCGGATTTCGCCGTAGCCTCGAGGTAGGGATACGCGGCGCGCGTACGGCACCGAGCTACCAAGCAGGCGCATCGTCGACCTATTACAATGGCCAGCCCTCCTAAGCGTTTCATTGTCATCGGTCGCGCGCGCCTTCTCTCTGCCCATGCGTCGATGCGCACAAACCATTGTTTTGCACGAATGGGCGGCCCTCCGCATCGCGACGCCATCAGCATTGTCGCGCCTCGCTGCTTTCCGTCCTTTTCCTTCGCTACTGTTTTCGCATTTTCATTTGAAAAGTTGAAAAGAAAATGAAAATAAATCAGCTGAAATTTGGAAACTGAAAGTTGGAAAATGTACCGCGAGGTCGTGCGCGATTCTACTCCACGTATTTCCACGCATTAGCAAAAGGATGATTGAAGCTGGCCGAATTGTAAAACAAAAACGTAGGTTCCGATGAAAAAGCGGAGCTCCGTGAGGGAGGATTCGCCATTTGACCGCGGCATTTTCATTCGCGTGCAAGATTTATAATTCAAAGAAATAAAAGCGGCGGAAAAAGTCTTCGGTGTTTCCTCGCGTTTAACGCTCGAGACGAAGCACGGTCAGGGATAAATATATCGTGTGTTCGATGAGCAAGATATACCGTGTTCGCGCGGCCTCGATAATGAATTCCCAATTAAAGATTCCATCGAGCCCCGGTGCGCGTCGATGATTTACGTCGTCTTCGAGAACGAACGGAGGTCCTCTTTTCTGGCCGCGTGATTCCCAGCGACAGGCCTTTGCGCGAAACGCGCACGAAATCTCGTTACAACGAAGGGAACAAAACAAAATGGACGTGTTCCCAGTGAAAACCGTATTCATTAATAACGGGCTACGAGTATCATTCGATCGCGCCACGTAGATATCCGACGTAGAACCGGTCGAGGATAACTCGACATGCGAATCTCTCAGATAAGCGGGCATCGTGAAGTAAATCAGATCTGTTCCCTCGCGCGGCCGTGCATTCTAAATGTAATATACGCGGACAGCGGGGACAATCAACCGCGAGCCTTATATCCAGCACGCTCGAGATAACGATGACCGGATCTAGCCGGCATTAACGAGCTCCGTCAGAATACCTTCCTTTCGAACTAAATAAAACTTTCCTGTTCATAGCTGGAATCTCTTCGCCTTGTTTCCTTCCTTTTTTACACGTAATCGTTAGAAATCAGAAGCTCGATAATATTCTGATGCGTGTTTCCCACAGTTAACAGGTTGATTTCCAACAAGGGCGGGGGGAATCATCGATGATTGGGATTGTCATTTATGTCAGAAGATCATTTTATAAATTTTTACTCATCATTTGTGAGAGAAATGGGGGCTTAAATTGAACATTCTTGCCACTAAGGGTGGTTATAATCATTAGGTATTTGACGAGCAATATATGATTATTTGTTTGGTGCTTATTCTAACCTTTGTTACAATATAATCTCGCTGAAAATTCGACCTGTTCAAAGTGTTCAGGACTAAACGATCGAATAAATGCTTTTTCTTCCCACGTTCATTCCACGATTGGCGTAACGGGTCGTACTCACGCTGAAAATTGCAGTCCTGTCGGCTCGAACATTGCGATACCCCTAGTCTACTGTTACAGCACGCAAAAATTATTGCAATTGCGCCAATAAATCTTGCGCTCTAATGCCAGCCCCGGAGAAACAGTTATCAGATCTTCGAGATGCGATGGAGCTTTAACAATTTCCCGGCTATTATTTTCTACGTTCATTAACGATTCGTTGAACTTGATGATCTAACGGAGGATCCACCATGCTCTGGTATTATAGTAACAATATATCGAGTTCCAATGTATCGTACGTTTGTATGTACCAGAGGATAGGTAGTATTTATCTACCGTATCTGTACATCTGATGGAAAACGAGTCTTCAAGAAAAATTACCGTAGCTCTAGTCGTAATATCGTAGCATACCACTGGCCTTACGATACGCAAAAACATTATAAAGATGGTTGACACTCTTGATTTTGATCTTAAATAAGAAACTTTAATCAACGTGTTATCTTGCTATCATAATGAATTAACATATACATTTATATTAACGGTTACATTTTATAATGACATTGCATTTAATAAGGCGAAAATGAAACTTATAGGTAAAATTGGTAATAACTTCTAAACGGGTTAATTAAATAGATAATATTACTGTGCATTAAGAATAATCGTTTTCTCGTGCCTCTCGATGGCGATCTTCTTGATACTCTCCCACAGCATCGGATACGGGTGTATCGTTCTAGCAAAGTCGGCTCGATTCAAACGATACAATTCGCATACTTCAACAGCGATAACACTGGCCACCCTCATCTCGTTTGGCATGACCAACGCGACCTCACCGAAGTGAGCACCGTCCTCCAGGTGACACACTTCTTTACCAGAGTTCGTGTAGATAGCCACAGTGCCCGTGCCGATAAAGTACATGCAGTCTCCTGGTTGATTTGCCCGTACGATCACGTCGTTTGTAAGAAAAATCTCAGACCTGAGCAACGACACTATTCGGCTCAACAATGAAAGTGGTAGATTGTTGAAGAATGTGACATTCTCGACCAGCTTGCGGCAAGAGTGCATGCTAATTTCATTGCGCATATGGGAGGACAACGTGTGAATGATTTCAGTCTCTCGAAAGAATCGATGTTGAAAACGAAACTCGTAATACTCTATGATTCGTCTCTGGGTTGGGTATGGTAGTTGTCTGTGTCTCATGTACTGTTTCAATTGAGCCACGGTACCTTGGTACCTCAGACGAGAACTGTTGGCACCCTTAAAGAACTGCATCACTCGTGTTATCAGGAACCAGGGAGAGACAATGCCGATCAATTGCAACGTGATGATCAGATATATGTCACCTACGTGTCGAGGGTTCGTGCGCAGCATTCCACCCCTGAGGAACGTAGTAACGGCCCGCATCAGGCTGTTCAAGTATTGCTGATTCCTTGGAGCCTCCCAGAGGTTGCCAGCGTGCAACCAGGAGTCATTTTTAGGACGTTGAGGCAGGTACATCGAGGTTGCAGCGATGGGAATCAGCCAGTGGAGACAGGACTGCCAATGCAACGCCATCATCAACCAAAATAGGATTTTGCAAAATTCATAGAGAGCTAGGGGGATGTCATAGGCGAACGCTATGCGATCTATGTATAAGCCCAGGGAGAAGACGCGAAAAATGCATATCAGAGATAACGTCTTTCGGATCACTGTGTACTGATACCATGTGGTTACGAAAAATAAATCAGTTGGAAAGGAACCCAGGAAATCGAAAATGAACGTGCTGGATTTTATATAGTGATGGGCTACTTTTTGCTGTTCCAATATCACTCCGTGCTCCTCTTTGTCAAAGTACCTATAATTGAAGTTAAAAATATAGATTTAATAACATTAGTAATCCAACTATACTTGCCCTGTCATGAAATTGACCACTATGTCCGCGCAACAAAACACCAGCAGGAAATTTTTACTGGCGATCCAAGCCTTGGACTTCCTGATCATCTCGAAGGTAGCTTGATAGGGCACCAGTATCAGTACGCTTGTCATCATGAAAATCATCAGGAAGTCCCAGAAATGCCTGCAACAATCTGGGACATAATACGCCGGCAAAGTGGGCCGGATGCACAAACGGGTATTGGAAACTTTCACGAGCCGATTTATCATTACGTTAACTGTAACTCCATTTTACGCTGTCTCCTTTCGATGAAAGTTTAACATTTTAAGCTTAATCCGTGACACCGGCCGTCAAGGTGTTAAGAAGTAAGGTCGTACCTGAACATGCTGAACGGATGAATGATGTACAAAAACATTCGCAAATGACGTCGTTTTTCGTAGACAATGGAAGCGCTGCTTCGTAGATACTTATGAGCTGCCGGATTGTTGCGAGAGGCTATCATCGATAGACGAATAAAATCGTACATTTTCCGGAACCGTCCTCTGCCAGGTACGAACAGTACGTCCGCTTCTTTGGCAATGATTTCGCATTGGTGTTCAACATGCAGCATGATTCAACGTTCTGATAACGTAGAAAATATAGGTACTAGGGTCCTTTGAGAGAAGGTTATAGCAACCACAGCCGAGTAAAGATAGGCATTATGTAACAGTATTATTTATGCGCTACAGCTTCAGCCAGTTCAGTCGGGTTATGGGATAATAAGAACGTATCGATTTTCATGGAGTGTTCCATACCTGTGTTATAGGTAAAGATATCATTGATGTAATTTAATATGAATTTGATGTGAGTTTAAGTAAGGAGACAGTAGCTGTATTTAAAATATGATAAACAGATTTAAAGATCTGTAAAGCGTACACATTACTTTAAAGAAAATACAGGGATAATTTTAAACTAGAATACTTTAGATACAGCTATTTAAATAAGCAACGTAAGTACATTGTATTTTAATTTTGAAATGTCACGGTAATTAAAGCCTTTTCAAAAGGTAACATCCACCGACGAAGGACAGAAAAACTATCCTCTTGGCTCCATCTTATGGGGAACTAAGAGAACCACGGTAGTAGTAATGGTATTTCAGGAATTAGTATTCAGCCTCTGAAACTCGACGATAGGTGGCGTTATGTCTTGTTTCCGGAATGATTTAGGGAAGAAACCTACAGTTTCACCTGCCTCAACTCTATGATGTGCACCCACAAGGGAATTGGAATTCTATATTACTTTTTTATCCCATTCAGGGATAATCTCTCCTTTAACGGTCGGGGATTCTCTAGGGTTGGGGGGGGGGGGGGGGGTTGAGAGTCTAACCCCTTTTTCTCATAATATGGAAAAAGTAGGGCCCTTCGCAGTAGGGGAAGAAAATTTCTCTTTCCTTCAATATTTCTTATCTAAATAATATTCTACATTCATTCCCCCCCCCCACTCAGTGCTCTATGAAAACCCCTACTGGAGGTTTTTTCCCTCAGAGAGCACCGAAGACAACACTGGAAAATATACACAAACGCAACCCACCCACAAACTTCACATAACACACAACCTATATTAACCCTAGCAATCACACCCAAACCCCTGCGAATTTCAAAATAAAAATTCAACGTTGTTTTTCTCCTTTATCAACGGAGTTTCACCACCCAAATTCTTTTCAAAGTATTCAGGGACAACGAAATCTATTTTTTTCTCCCTCTGGGATCACCTACAGACTTTTTTTTATTCGAAGATTGTATATATAAGAATGAAAGTTTGAGCGAGCACTAGCGAGAAAGATGACATAACCGCCATCTGGTGGCATGTTAGAGCTGAAGAAGGTTACATTGTTACTATTCAAGAATCTAGAGAACGACACAGGCGCATTCCAAAGTCGGTAACATCTTTCCCTTTTCGTCTGTATAACTTTCAATTCAGTAAGAGTGTTTTTATGTATTTCATCTGAAGGCTATCATGACAATAGTAGATTTTACGAGCTTTAGATAATTGAATAAGTTAATTGTTACTGAAAAAATAAGCAAAATTTAGTTTTAATAATCTCCCTAGATGGCTATAGTATTCCATGGTTGTGGCAGCACTTTTCAAGAACCGTCTCACGTTCTGAAATACCGCCGTAGCATAAAACCTCTTTTGCGCCACCGACGAGGGACTATAACAGTCTATAACAGTCGCGAATAGTCTTGTGCTGCTTTTGACTGATTTCTAAAAAAAAGAAAAATAGAATCAAAGGGGATAAAAGTTGGGTCTTTCTAAAAAGAAAGTCTGTCAATCTGAGATGCGGTAAAAGAAGGACTGGTAAAACAGACACGATTATCATATCGGCTGTGCTCTCTGCATGCAGACCTAATCTCATCTGGCTGAATTATTTATTTAAAAATAACCTATTATTTATAACACTTTTTGTTCAAAATGACCTATCAAATACAGTGGAAAATGCTTATTGGTTTCATCATAGAACACCCTGTATGAATGGAATGATCTATCGCCACTTTCGATTCCTATTGTATGAAATCATCGATCACCCTCGTATAAATTCCAAGATTACTCTACGAATGAAAAGGATGGATTTTTGCATATGAAAATCGTAGAACGTCAAGATGGATGACCTTGCTCGCGGTACATTTAAGCGACCTTATATACAAGTTAGCTTTACGAGGGCTCAGACCACGGTTGCGTGCATGGCATAAGAACAAATTTCCACGGTACACGTTGAGCCGCGGTGAATTCTCCGTGTAACGACACACTTTTATGGACAATTTTATTTCTTCACCCTGTGCGAACGTATTTTCGCGGGCATCTTTATTATATTCCGACCGATATCGTGTATCAGGCATAAAAACTGTACTCGTTAGGGATTTAACGGATATGTAACTTCGCGCATCGCACCTTTTCTTTATTTCTTTTTAAGCTTATTCCTTTCCATTTTTATGTGAAACAGGGACTTAGAACTTTTTTCTGTTCTTCTGGAAGCCGTCCGAAAGGTCGGCGACGCACGGTACTACGACTTTGACTTTCGGGACTTAATTTCTAACTTTCAATGATTTACAATTATTTATATTACTACTCTGTTATATTACTACTACTCAAGGTATAGTTTCGTCCACTACTAATAAATTTGAGATTTTACAAATTTTTCTGACTGGCACCTATATCCAACTTTTTGACCGCCGACATATATGTTGTTATCAATGAAGATAGATTTTCTAAAATAAAGTTGTTGATTACTATGAATGGAAATTTCATAGCGTTGAAAACTTTATACGCTTAGACTTTAGACCGTCAAAATTCTCTTCACTAAACCGTGAACCCTCACCATCAATTTACCATCGCCGTTCTAACTCGCAGACCAGAACGTTCTCGACGGCGCCATCGAAACGGGGTTTCGATCCCCGAATCGATTGGTTTACGGTAATACGTAATCTAAAGTCCCGGCTCGTTCCCGTCGAAAGCAGCGAGTACCGAAATCGAGGGAAGCTAGGTCGGTGGAAGTCGTGCTCGTCTTTTTCCCCGCATCTCGATAATAAATTTTCAAGTTGTCCGGCCGAGTTGTGGAACTCTGGTACGACGTTATGGACGATGCTCGAGAACAAGAAGGGTGGTTACACACAGGCTACGCTCGCAACCCTCTGCACATACTAACGTGGATTTATTGAGACCATCCTCCTCGTAACGACAAGTGACTGCGGACGAGTTCCTTTTTCTCTCTATCTTTCTCCCTTTCTCTTTGCTGTATCAATATCTCGTTAGAAAGAATGATGAAAATAAGATAAAATGTTTATCCCTCGTCTAGTGTCTACACACAGGCACCTGGTTCATTGTTTTTTTTTTTTTTGCTTTTTCGTACGCAATTGTGATCGTAGTTCGTAAAATGGAACAGCCTATCACCTGGCGTTAGAACGTATCGGTAATCGATAGTCGCGTTCAGTGGAATCGGTCGCGGTACAAAGACAATTATCGTTCTTGGAAATTGGCGACAAGTTGGCAATTGGCGATTTTCGGCGAATTGCTGTTTTACGCGCGCACAAGCGTCCGACGGACAGCAAATGCAATAATGCAGGTGGCGCAAGATGCGTAGAATGTGAAATGTGAAAATTGAACTGCATCGAGCGAATTTTTGAACGTATCACTTTGGTAAATGGCTTTCGAATACGTTTCGTATTTTTCTGCATTTTCCATGCGTGTGTGGCTGTGTTTTTGAAATAGATAAATGATACAAGTTTGGAGATAAACGTGAATAGTACGTTAATATCATCACTGAATTTATTTTCAAATATTTTATACGTCGCGTCGGATGAGTTAATTAGTTCACTGTCACGGTAGAAATATTCGATTCGTTGCGTGATCCTTGCTGCGATCAAATTGTTAAAAAATTATAGTGTATTAAACAAAACACCTGAATGCTAATATTTCGCATAATTTTACATGTTACAATTTCATTACACACAACCGCAGTTTATTATCTTGAATCTTTTACAAAATTCAACGTACCAACGTAAATTTCAAACACTTTTCTCCGACACAGGAAGAAAGTAAAACATAAGCTTTCTTGAATACCAGTTAGATGTCGCGTGTCTTTTCGCGATCAAAGAATTAGGTCGGAAAATAGCAACAATTACCATCAATCTGTTGGAGTAATTCAGCGGGAACAACGTGTTTCGAGGAAGAAAATCAATTTGTCGCTGTTAAATGGCCTGTATGATTTTTAGCTGGTACTTATGTGCACACATTGATTTCATTACCGGCAAGCGTCGCGTTTCACTGCTCATTAAGCCAACAGATAGATCTTTTGAACTCTGTGTACGTTGTGGTCGTCTTAGCTCTCTCCCTCGTGGATGCTTAACCAAGTTGAAACTTGATCGCAATTTACAGTGAACCCATGCTATCGAGCGTAAACGTATACACATAAAATGTATATATATATACATTTTAACACAAACAAAGTAGGAAATAATTTTCCATTCTCAGGCGAACGAAATTAAAATTTTTTCGTGCGGCGCACCGTTTCAACTTGTACTGCTGATATCTATTGCCACGTTGGTCCGTTGTAAAAATTACAGTTCGGGCAATTATTACCGCGGCAAGCGTATAACGGCAGATAAGCATGCGAGAACGCGCTTAAATTCGTTTCAGAGAATGGCTGAGAAAGTTCTCTTGTAACCTGGATGAAAAAACAGAATCCTGTTTCAATCTTTAGTTCGACGTATTTCCTTGACTTACTTTCATAAATTTTCACCGTTCAAAAGCGAGTTATCAAAGTTGTCTGATGAATAATCATTAGATGGAAAATTTCACGTTAGTTCCAAACGGAACATTACCATCGTGACCCCCGCTGAAGTGAAAACGCGTTAAGTACGAGCAGGCTTTTGTGATTGCCATCGATTCAACGGTGTAACGGTGCAAATAGGCTGACGTTTTGTCTCGCCACGGAAGAGGATCCCAGTAAACGTGGTTCCGGGCAAACGATCAGGGGATCCTACTAGCAGCAGCTCGCTTTGACAAGTTTACGACGTTTAACGGGATGCAAATGTGAGCGTGGAGTCGGGGTGCGTTCGCACGCGGCCTCGAACCGACGATAAAGAGTCAAATACACGGTGATCAGGAGGAGAGAGAAGGGAAAACCGGCGTAATTACACAAGCTGTACGGTAATCCTCGTATAACAACGAGGACCTGCCTGCAGACCAGCGAGCCCTTGAAACGGGTGTCGA